CACAAGAAAATTAAAGATTCGCTATCATTGTACCAATGCCACTGTCCATTTGCCTATTACTCCTGTGTTCATTGACCTACGTAAAGATAGCTGAGAATGCACTCCAATAAAAATATTAACTCAGCAAAGGGTTCTGTTTTGACAACTCAAGTGAATTATTGACTTCACTTGATTGACATCTTAAATGATCTATTAGTTGTTCTTTTTGTGATCTCTTTTGTCAATCTTTCAATATTTATTTGGGCAATATTAGGATGTGAAGTGTTGACGTCTGATTGACATTTTTACATGGTTATAGAAACAGCAGCTTTTGGAGATTCGCTAGCCAAAGAAAACACTTTCTGAACATCTATCCTACCAAGCCCCTTAAGAATTTTTACAAATTTTAATTATGTCCTCATAGGAATGTTTATATATGTATCAATTTACTACATTGATTCTCCACTAAAATAGCAGGAAGGATTCTCCAATGCAGTTTATTTTTAACATTAGAGTTCCCAGAGAAACTAGATAGGCTCTCTAGCCAGCTTGCCTCCAAATTTTCCCACATCTGTGGCCACCAATATTGTTTCAAGGGTCTTTACTCCCAACTCACTCCTGTATCTACGTTCCCAGAGCAAACAGTGTGGATTGGGGCATATTTTACCGAGGCAGAGCTCACAAGTTGGGAAACTGTTATGATACAAGAGACTATTCAGCCCTTCATGTATGTGACTTTCTGTAATATCAACTCAGGAACATTCCCTTCCATCTGCTACACACTTCCTTTCACCATAGTCTGTAAATCTTTTTCTCATCAGATAATTATCCAATTCACATTTGAATCTGTCCTTACCACACCTCAGCCAGTAAGCTAACCCTGTGTAAGAATGTTTTTCATGTAGTTTTATTTCCGTTGTTAGTCTCCTTAAATCAGTGCCCTCCAGTTATTGTCACTTCTGCAAATAGCAATAGTTTTTAATCTACTGTATCTAAACCCCTAATGATTTTGAATACCTTCCTTTTTTTTATTACAATGAAGAAGTGTTTTGGAATTAGTCTTTTTTCAGTTTCAGATAAAACAAAGATCTGTGACTTGTCTGAGTTTGTCTAGCAGGCCAGGAAGAAGCTGAATATGAAATCAATTTCTGTGGTTCAGCATACAGCAATGCTGTGAAAACTAGCATTCACGAATGAATAGATTAAATTCATGGGGAGTTAATTTTGAGACTGGAAACGTTGCCTGGATTAGGCTAGAGGGATGATCTCCAGGGAAAGGAAACCTCGCCTCACAGTAAAAGACAGTTCTAAGATTACAAGACACCAGGTTAAGAAAAGAAAACAAGAATAAAACCTCTACATCCAAGAATCATCCTGGATTGATAGGGGGAGAAAATGAATATCCATGCTAAGTAAAATGTAAAGTATAGCTGGAAATTGTGTTTCTTCAGGTGTGCCAAGAATAAGAAAGGAGATATTCCATTCTCTGGTTTAAAGTATAATTGCTTCCAATGATAGTGTTCAGTTAACTGTTTTTAGTAATTTATTGCAATAAATGTCTTAAAACACGAAGCCTGAACATGTCATTTCCTCAGCTCATAACTGGTTGTTTGAATTTTTGTAAAAAGAAATTCAGTCTCAACCGGGATAGGAACAACCTTTATCACATTTCCTCCCAGTGTTCTCCAAGGAGGACCGTCCCAACTTCTCCAATCTATCCATTTCATAGAAGGCCTTCACTATGGAACTGTTCTTGCAATCTCTTCTGCATCCTCTCCAATACCTTCACATTGTTTCTAAAGTATGCCCACAATTAGACACGTTATTGTTGAGACTCTACAGTGTTTGCTTTTATACAGAACCCTGCAATTCATAAAGCTCAAGATCCAACTCGGGGTGAAGAAAATAAATAACAATTCACTTTGGGGGTTGGCTAGACCTTGGGAAATTGTTGACCACACCAGTTCCATTTGCCTTGTTAATCGTTTCCCTCAACACAACCTGCCATCATCAATGACAACAAGGCGCAGGGCTGGATGAACACGGCAGGCCAAGCAGCATCATAGGAGCAGAGAGGCTGACGTTTCGGGCCTAGACCCTTCATCAGAAAAGGGAGAGGGGAAGGGGGTTCTGAAATAAATAGGGAGAGAGTGGGAGGCGGATAGAAGATGGATAGAGGAGAGGATAGGTGGAGAGGAAACAAACAGGTCGAAGAGGCGGGGATGGGGGCCAGTAAAGGTGAGTGTAGGTGGGGAGTTAGGAAGGGGATAGGTCAGTCCAGGGAGGACGCACAGGTCAAGGGGGCGGGATGAGGTTGGTCGGTAGGAGATGGAGGTGTGGCTTGAGGTGGGAGGAGGGGATATGTGGGAGGAAGAACAGGTTAGG